TAAATTTCAATTTTGCCCTTTTCTCACATTTAAACTTCCTGTAAAACTAAATTGGCCAAAAATTCCTCTCTGCCTGCTTGCACATTTTATCCATCACACTTGACTGAACGTTTTGTGGAATTCATTTTCTGTGAAAGTGCAAATTATTTTTACTATTTGTGCCTTTTTCCAGCATCTGTACATCTGATGGAGAATAAGATATACCGTAGTTCAAACCAATAATTTCACACATAATCTGAAATATTGTTTGGCAATATTTGAAAACATGTATTTAGTAGTTTATGAAGAATATTTGATAATATTGTGACTTTCTAGACCAGGTTAACTTTCTACTTATGTGATATACAACTTTTGCCTTTTGCTCAAGAACAGCCTCTACACAAGTATGATTTGAGTCACTCTCATATTTATATGTACATATAGAGAGACAATGCGTACATAATGCAGTATTTGTAAAAGCAACTAAGTAGGTGGGGAACGTGTGGTGAAAAGTGATCAAAGGTGTGAGATTCCATTCTTAATAATAATAATCCTTTCACAGTGAGAGGTGTCCCAAAGCGCTTCACATGATATATACTGTAAATTGGAGTGACTGTGTGTTTTTGTGTACTTGTTTGTAGAGAGCAACCACTTTTTATGTTTGAAGACAATTCAGAATGTCCTGCTACTACTTCACATACACTAATTGGAATATTTCATTTTTTTAATCAATTATAAATCAATCCTTTGAGAAGCTTATAACACTTTACTTATAATGCTTACCCATTTGTGGCCATATTTTATTGACAAACTCTTTGTCAAAAGTTTAATTGAACTTGTTGCTGACTAAATTCACTCCTTTGAAACCCCAAGGATGAAACTGGCTGAGTGTCAAAGCTGAGTCCATTTTTCTCACTTAATCATGTAACACTTAATTCCATAACCTAATTAATTTCGTAAACTCAAAAATCCCAATTTAACAACATAATAACACAAATAACAAATTGCTTTTACATAGCTCTTTTTGCATAGGGAGGACGTCTCAAGGCACTGGACAGTCGAGGGTTTGCACCTGAGCTGGGGGTTCGAGTCAGGATATTTATTTAAAGATTTAAAAATTTTATTTGAAGATTAAAAAATTGTTTGTTATTATCTCTGCAAACCTTACCAACTGAATTAAATATCCTTATATAGGTGGATTACTCATTTAAATAAAATGTTTGACCTACAGATTGATTCCCACATGTGCAGCTATCCATTTCACGTTTGGTTTCTTGATCTACCAAAGATCATAATCCCAATTGAATCAAGTGACCATCGAGAAGAAAAACCCTGTTTTGTCAGATGAAACTACATTGCTGAAGTAAACTGAGAATTCAAGTGTTTCATTGTCTCTGGCTTTTGTACTATTTCCCTTCCCTTCATTAGAAGGACCTCCACAAATACAGAAATGCAATTGTTTGTGGAAATGTGAGATAAAGCCCTCTTTCATTTCAATGACAATTACTGTACTTGGTTATATAAAAGTCTCTATCCCAGTGTCATGGATTTCAGGAATGTGAGGAGGTGTATCAGAAAATTATAATAACATGTCCTTGAACCTTTACATTACTTTATTAGTGCCCGTATTAATTGCGATACAGCACTTAAGGTGCAGACTTTCGCCCCATTTGTGTGTGATTTCAGTAGCAGTGCTACTTCCATGGCAACCTTAAGGGATAAAGAGTAAACTTGGATAAAGAAATCCTCTAAGTGCATAAGCCTTAATATCTTAGCCTCAAAGGAATACTGTGAGATAAGATTCCATAATGGCTGACAATGTATCCTGTTACAATGGAACCTGTATTTTGTTTAATATCTACTTATTTTATTTATTTGCTGCTGAGATTTTTTTTGATATAAATTGTCCACGGCAGAAAGCCTCTCGATTGGAGCTTTTTTTTTGCCGATTCCTGGCTTGCGATCTCAAGTGTTACCTCTGAGCACAACAACAACTTGCTTTCATTCCCCACCTCCGCAACATTGCCCGGCTCCTCCACTGTCTCTCACCCCAGGCTGCTGAGAAATTTGAAGAAATAAATAATAATATTCCTTGCATTTGATTTCGTACTTCCACATGTACATGGATGACACCCAACTCTACCTCTCTGCCTCCACCTTTGACTCCAGGACCACTGCTGTCCTGATAGAATGTCTGTCAGACATCAAGTCTGGATGAGAGCTAATTTTCTTCAGTTGAACGTCAACAAGATCGAGGCTCTCCTGATTGGCTCCCGTCAGCACCTCCTCACCTCAGGCACTGACAGCATCACCATCCATGGTTGCACACCCCACCTTGCTAAGCCAGTCGGGATCTTGGGGTCTTGTTTGACCCTCAACTATCCTTTCTAGCCCACATCTGCGCCATGACCCTGCCTTCCCCCACCTCTGCAACGTCGCCCGCCTCCGCCACTGTCTCACACCGCAGGCCACCGAAACCTTCATACACGCTTTCATTACATCGAGGCTCAACTATGCAAACTCACTGCTCGTCGGCCTCCCCAACTCCTCCCTCCATAGGCTGCAGATCATCCAGAACTCTGCAGCCCGTGTCCTCTCCCGCACTAGGCTCCGCGACCCTATCACCCCCATCCTCGCCCAACTCCACTGGCTTCCCATCACACAGAGCATATAGTTCAAGATACTGGTTCTCACCTTCAAAGCCCTCCACGGTCTTGCTCCCCCCGACCTCCTAACCTCCTACCACCGCTCCCTCCGCTCAGCAGGGCTTCGCCCTGCTTCACATCCCCCGCCTTGCTCACCCCACTATTGGCAGTGGATGTGACGGGCCAGCGGGCCTTTCTGCCACTCTGCCCCCACCCTCTGGAACTCCATCCCGCAATCCCTCCGTCTGGACCCTTCCCTTGCCACCTTCAAGACCCACCTCTTCGACCGTGCTTTCAATCTCCCTGCTTCCCACCCCTGCTCTCCACCCTCCCCCACCCCGACCCTCAGTTCGGGTCTGTCCAGCAGCTTGGGACGTCCTCCCGACGTGAAAGGCGCTATACAAATGGAATTTTGTTGTTGTATAAAAGCATTTGGCAGAATATATTGTAAAGTAGTGACTGTGTATTTTGTGGGTGATAATTAACAGAAAGTGATTCCTCTCAAAGGCATAAGTCTCTTGTATAGAATGAACACAAATAATCTTTACATAAATGATTGAGAGTAAATCCCACTATTTCATCCCTATAGCACTGCCCTCTGTGGCAGAGAATCGGTGGGTGTCCTACTTCCAGGTCTCTCAACACTGCTTTTATCTGACCACTAGGAGTCATCACTAGTTTGTGATCCATCATCGTCAATCTATAGTATTTCCCCAGAGGCATTTGGAGCAGCTTTGTGGACACCATGTTTATTGGAGGATAATAGTCACTAGATGGTCATTTCACTGCCATTTTGCACCCACGAAAATACACAGACATGACACTTTACAATATACTCTCTTAAGCACTTTGCAACATCTAAACGACGTGATAAGGTGCTACATGATAAGGTGTGGAGTCCTGTAGCTCAGTGGTTAGAGCACTTGCCTCTCAAGCGAGAGACCTGGGTTTGTTTCCCAGCAGGGCGAAACCTTGGGCAAGTTTTCTTATTCACACGCCTGATAATGATTCCTCAAGAAAAAAAATCACAATGATAACTTGATCACTTCAATCCATGACTGTTTGTGGGACACTGCTGTGCGCAATTTGGCTGCCGCATTTTGCTCACAAATATACAGTCAATTCACTTTACATTATATTCTGTGAATCGCTTTGAGACGTCTAGAAGACGTGAAAAGTGCTATATCAAATGCAAGGATTATTATTATTATTACCATCCCACAACAGGGCAGTTGATTGATGACCAGACATTGAAGATTCTGTGTCGCTACATGAGTACAATGTAGATTGTAAAAACTTGACTCTAATTTCCTCTTCTCTCTGTACCAGTGATATTGTACAAAAGAATGCCTATGATCTTCTAGTCTGTGCATAGTATTTCATGTATGAAACACAAAATGTAACAGTCGTTTGCCAAAACAGTTTCCTTAGGTTAATTTTTTTAAAAATCCATAATTTGTCTTTATACAATTTCAACCAGTGATGAGTTCAGATCCTAGTTTAATTTGCATTCACACTTATTGATAAGCTCATTTGTTGGCTGTCATTGCTTAGTCCCCAACAGGAGAACAGTGCACACTCAGGTCACCTACTCATAGGAATGATATTAACCAAGAGATGGTATAGATGCGAGCAACCATAATCTTCATGCCTGATGTCGCTACTTGAGCACAATGTAGATTTAAGTTCTGAGGAAAGTTAAAAGAAGTTGGGACTGTTCTCTTTGGAAGGGTGGCAGATTAGAGGTGACCTTATTGCAGTTTTGAAGATTATGAAGAGGTTTGAATGAATTTGATGCATGTGCACTGTTCACTAAACAAAATAATCCCAATAGAAAGGATGTAAGTTGAAAATTATGAAGTAAGGAGAGTTTTTAGGCAACCCAACAGTGACTTGAGGAATAAGTTACCAAGGAAGGGCAATGAAGCCATCTACAAATCAGTGCAGTCCTGGAAGACGAGGGTTTAAGGAAAATAATGAGAAGATGGATATCGTCAAAAAGAGATGGGTTATTCAACTTACGGTATTTCCTGTTCTAAAACATGAGATATGTATAACTGCCTCAGAGAAAGCTTTCTGAAGGGTTAGCCATGCCATTGATTTTGCTGTGGCTGTTGCAATGTTTATGGTCTGGATTATTGCACCTTTCTAGATGTTGAAAATTAGTTGTGAGGAGAGTATTTGGGGAGGAAGAGAAATACAGTCCCAGCAGTTTCTTCTCGGTGGTAAACTGGCTAATTGAACATCTCCAGTTTTATTCATTTGAATCCCAAGGTTTAAGAATTTTGAATCATCTAGAAAACATTGCTGCAAAACAAATCAATACAATGTTTTAAAACTTCTATTCATGTTTATTTCATTTGTGTATTTGCAAAGGAAATTCTGGCCAATGAAGAATATAGAAGAGTGATAAAAATGCGTGCCCAGGAAGTAGAGGAGAAGGAGAGACGTGCGCAAGAGAAGGGGTATGAGGAAGGACTTGTTGCTAAATCTGTTAAAACTCAAGTCAAAGGGCACGCCTCTGCTACATACTATGCAAAGGATGAACCGTCATCAGAACCCTCAAGCACAGCAAACACCTTCCAACCTGGGAGCTGGACACCATCAGAGAGCTCCAGCAAAAAACAATAATTGTTTTTGGCTCCTGTTTTAAAGGAGTTTTGTTGTGGGACTAACAGCTTGCAATCCAAGAATTTCTGCACACATATGCACACACAAGATGCCTTTGTTGTAATTGGGAATAAAGATTATTCTGAAAATTTCTAAATTGCTGGATTGATTTTTTTGAGAAATGTCCCACAATTTAACACTCCAAAGTGGTATAAATTGTTACATGTACATCAAGCACACATGCATTATAATGGAATAAACCTCTGAGTAGCAGTGAGTGTCCTAACTCGTCAGCCTGAGTCAGTATGGTCAGTTTTAACAACAACAACAAATCATATTTATATAGCGCCTTTCACATCAGGAGGATATTCCGATTATCACCCACTCACATGTATTATAAGCACAGTTCTCTGAACAGTGTTGTTTAATTTTCCAATGGGTCTGCAAGTGTGGTTGGAAAGAATGGCATCATGTGAAACATCCTTAAATGAACAGGAAAAAAAATGGAAGACATTTATTTGATTGTCTTTTTTTTTAAAAAAAGACATCCAGGAAGTGAACACATTTTGGTGAAAATTTAATCCTCCTCATTACTGATTGGGGGGTGGGGGAGAGAGGAATCTTTGCAGGGACTTGCTGCAAGGCACAAGGCACAAACTGGGCTTGTAATATAAATTGCATTATATGATTTTTTCTCTTTATGCTAACTTATTCTGAAAGTTTTTCTCAGCTAGTTGTTATTCCAGCTAGTATGAACAGTATGTACCTACCCATTTGTTGCCAGCAATTGTGGGTGAATAATTGAGAGCTTCTAGTTCAGGAGCACCACAGTTATTTTCAACTTCTCCTCAGCCCCAATGAAATGACATTAACTAACTGGGGGGAGACATAAGCTGGACAAAAACTGTGAGTGATATAATCTTCTATTTAGAATACAAGCACTTCTGTTAGTAGAAATGAAATTTGTGGTAATTCATCATAAAATGAATGTGTTGCGTCCTTACCAATATGGTTCAGGTCCTTAAAATAGCTAAGATTGTATTTATATCAACTGAATGACAGTCATAAAGCATTCTTAGGAAAGCATAAAGTTCTGTACTAACAGTGGAGTTTTGTGTTATCAATAATGAATAATTCCTGTTTGCTATTGATGGTAATTTTGAATGTGTTTTTATTATTGAGCAGGGGATTCAAAAGTACATTTGCAGGAACCCGTTACCATGGTTAACAGTTACAGTTCTGCAGTTCCTGTTACTGAGAACCCACAGAAGCAGCATCTGTTTGCCAGTTCTGGAGTGTGCAATTTCTCTGGAGAATACAGGACAGGGTGGCAGAATTAATTTTGTGATTTATAGTCTAAGTTGGTCGCCACAATTTAATTTGTTCTTTTAATCTCCCTTATCAACTTTTTTTACTGTGCAACTTGCTCTGCAATCAAACTCCTTGTGCTATCCTCATCATCATAGGAAGGTTTCTACCTATTAATTCAATTTTGACTTTGTTCCACATTTGTATCTCTAATATTGTAAAGAGAACTCCAAATTCCTGAATTATTGTATTCAAAATCTACAAATATTTTTAAATAAACCAAAATTTTATGTAAACTTTTATTGCAAATCTATGTATATCCATTTTTTGTAATTTGGAAGACTGAACCTGTAAACATATGACAAATGTGGTAGTCTGTAAATCCAAATAAAAGTGGTTTAGCTGTTGATTTTGTTGATAAAAATTTTCAAGTAATGGTTTCCTATTGCATGAAATACTTGGAAAGCGTAGGACAAGAGAGGGCTATTTAACTTAACAATCCCGCACCCTTCATGGTCAATGTAAAACCTATCCTATCGGGCTCCCCATCTACACACTGTATCTCTCAATGGAAAAATCTAACCAGATACTTCCTGATCCCAAAGGTACTGAAACAATAATTCCAGAAATTCATCCTAGCTATCTTTATTGTTCATTACTGGCTTCCTTCTCTCCACAGGCGGTCCTGTATCACTGCCACCCTAACATCACAGAAACCAATGTGACTGTGGAGTAATTACAGTCTGCACTAACCCTTTATTCTCCAATACTGTTCAAAAGCATTATTTATCAAAGCTTATATCGATATGCATAACTTTTGCATTTGATATGGCGTCCCATATTGGGAGGACGTCTCAAAGTGCTTCACAGGTAAAGTTAAGAGAATTACTATTGAAGGCAAGCCTGTCAAGGATTGGATAGAATGATTGTCACATTGCCTTTATCTCCATTCTATCTATAATAGATCACATATTACTTATTTGGAGGTGGAAGAAGCAACTGCAGGTACTTAGGTATCTGCTGGCAGAGAATCACAACACCATGCCTCTATTTCAAGGCCCACCTAGCAATTTTGCAGGCAACAATCAGCACACTGTATGCAGAGGGCATTTGTTTCCTTTAAACCAGCAAGATTTTCTTCATTTTTATATAACATTCACATAAGCCAGGGAGTTAATCGCAATCAAAAAGTGCTTTATTCTCTGAATGTAAGGTTTATGAAATGCTTGGAGCTACCCAGATCCTCTCTCTTTAGGAAGCTTGAGTTGGACAGTGCATTAGCTGGTGAGTAACAGGCTGTGAGCTGCAGACATGAGTGAGCCCCTCATTCTCAATCCATGTTCAGAGGTTATAATAAGCAATGCCAAGCAAACAGAAGAATTATGGAACGTACATTGGCACATTCTCAGATGTATTTTTCTGGCTAAGGTGTTGGGTTACAGCATAACTAACCAGATCTCATGACACAGTGTAACATTAACACTTTGTAATGTTAACCTTTCAAGTGGAAAGTTGTTTGAGAATTACAGGATATTGCTGCCAAGGGTTAGAAAAACTGCACAATGTATTCTAAGGTCAAGTCATGACTTTTATAAAAAGTATTTTCCTCTTAAACACGGAATGAATTTTGAGATGCCACTGAGGAATAGAAAGTAGTTTGTGTTGTATAACATTACTTACATTAACTATTGCTCTTTATCACAATGAAACATCTCAAAGTGTTTCACATGATGAGTTGCACTGAAATGTGTTACATAGGTCAATGTGGCAGCAATATTCCATAAACAATGAATTAATTTTAGTGAAGTTTGGATGAGGGGGTAATATTGACCAGGACAATAGGGAAAACTTCTTCAAACTAGTGTAATGGAATATTCAAGACAGACAAATCTTTGGCATGTGTCATCCAATTGACAGAAGTTACAAGAGTCATGAATGACTGAATGTCAACTGAGGAATAATTTTAAATCCTAGTATGGAGCTTTAAATTGTTACCAATTTAGTCAAGCTGACACATATCTGCTGTGTAATAATTGGTATGTTTTCTGGAAGTATGATGTGGATAAAAAGTGACAAGACTTGAAGATGCTGATTGAAATGAAATAGAACACAAGAGCAGTCAATCCACTAGTCTGAGCAAAAACGTTTTTAAAACTGAAATGTACTTCGTACAACTATGCAGCATTAAAAGTATTCTTTTAGGAAGCCGGGTGAGAGTTCATTTTGTGTAAATGTTTTTTTTATTTCATTGCTAGGGCTGGGTTGGTGAAAAATTGTCACCAAGAATATCATGTTGAAATATTTGAGTAGGTCACATAATAAACTAAAAGGACACCTTGTCAAATAATTTACAATTTATAACACTGCATTGAAAGATTTTGGAACTGAGGTAAGAAGTCAATCCAGGGGAGCTGGTAGTTCAATTGATCAGTATGTTTGGCAATATGGTGAGTAGAACTCCAGGTTTGGTAATCACACTGAGTGTTTTCTGTCAATACAATAATTATACAGAGATGAATACAGTATTATAATACCATATTTGCAGCACAAGTGGTCTGTCCCCCTCCAAAGCTGCCTTTGTCCACCATAAGACTGATTATTTTTCTCCCTCACCATTAAGGGCCAGGGCAATTGAGCCAGTTTATATGGTGAGTGTGATGGGCCAGAGTGGGATGTAGGTTTACCCCACACTTCCCAGTATCATATTCTCCAATCTCAGCTAGACTGTCTGTAAAGATGGCAAGTCTGGACAATATCTTTCGCAGCAAGTGGCTTCTCCTCCAGCCCCTGCAACGTCTCGTGCGGTGTTCCTCAGGGCTCTGTCCTCGGTCTCCTCCTCTTCACCCTCTACATGCTCCCCCTTGGTGACATCATCCGCGGACATGGGGTAAATTTCCACATGTATGCGGATGACACCCAACTCTATCTCTCTGCCTCCACCCTGAACTCCAGGACTACTGAGGTCCTGACCGACTGCCTGCCCGACATCAAGTCCTGGACGAGGGACAACTTTCTCCAACTCAACGTAAGCAAGACCGAAGCCCTCCTGATTGACTCACACCAGCGCCTCCACATCTGGGGCGCTGGCAGCATCAGCCTCCACGGCTGCACACTCAACCTCACTAAGCCAGTCAGGAACCTGGGTGTCTTGTTTGACCCTGAACTGTCCTTTCTCCCCCACATCAGCACCATGACCGGCACTGCCTACCACCACCTCCGCAACATTGCCAGACTCCACCACTGCCTCACCCCTCAGGCTGCCGAAACCCTCACCCACGCATTTGTCACATCAAGGCTCGATTATGGAAATTCCCTCCTCATCAGCATTCTCAACTCTTTCCTTCCCTTCATAAGCTGCAGATCATCCAAAACTCTGCAGCTTGTGTACTCTCGCGCACCAGGCTCCGCAACCCCATCACTCCCACTCTCGCCCGACTCCACTGGCTTCCCATCTGGCGCTATAAATGTAATGTTGTTTCACCATATTTCCCTCATTTTCTCAGGAAGGTCAAGATTCAGTTAGTTGATTTGAGCTAATGTCAACCAACCTTAGGGAAGCTACACTTAACCTCAGTAAGTCTGTCCTAGAGAGAGGGAGGGGCAAATGAGCTAAAATTCCTGCTCCCAATCAATATTCAGTAACTTCTGCTGGAATGTGTGAGTTGCGCAAGGACAAGACCAAGTTTGGCTAAGGTGATCTCGTTCAATAGCCTGTCAACACTCACTAATTAGGCTCACACACTGTATCAAGATGGGTGAACAGCAACCAATGCCTGTGGAATACCCCAGCATGATTCAACATATTCAGTGAAAAGGAAATTACAGTATTTTATTGTTAAAAGA